AGGCCTTTGACTATGTGGAAGTGGGGGTTAAAACTGAATGAAAATAAATACATGTGCATGTGTGTTCAAGTATCTAAGTTTTCTTGTGAAACTGAAGAATTCTCAAAACTGAGTGGGGGAAGATAAAATGAGTACATGACTGATTCCTTGAGGAAGAAAACTAAGTGGAAGCCATCTAGTACTTTGGAAGCAAGTAAATGTTCGGAAAGTCCTTGTATTCGGGGATTAAGTTTGTCCTTTTTATGCACAGACGTGGCATAATGTTATCAACTTGGTTGTATCAAAAAATCCCCTCTCTTTGGAATTGACAATTTCCAAGGTCACTGTAGTGATTTCCAGTAATCTTTTTGGAATTGAAGGTGTTCTGGAACCACAGCATTATCTTAACTGTCTTTTCAGACAGTTATATATAAAATAGTTGCCTTTGTGCCTTTCTTATTATTATTCGGTGATGGGGTTGTCATTTGAAGATTAAATTAGAGTTTGTTCAACCAGAACAGTAATAACTGCATTCGTTGTCATCAGGTTAGGTCTGTGTCTTTCTGCTTGTGTAGCAGACAGTTGGAATTCGTTAAGCTCATTAACAGTGCGGTGCTGCCTTGACTGGCTCTGCGCAAATACTTGATTGTGTCACTTTCTTGTCTAAAATCTTTTTCTAGGATTACCTGCATGAAGGTTTCCATTTTAAGGACAGTGAGGACTTACCTATGATTGCAAATTCTTGATTTTGGGGGTGCTCTTTTGGTGACCAGGTGTGCCTGGCAATTAAAGATTCAAAGCAGAGAATGGGGAACTTGAGAGATGCTGGAACTGTCCTTTCAGAGAATTCCCATCCAATGGTCCATACAGTGTTGAAATGGATAACGATTATGTAGCTGACTATCTTATGGCCGGCTAAAAGATGAGTGCACAGCTGCCTAAGCACAATTTTTGACACAGCTGGCTTACCTGGATGCTACCTCTGTTTTCCTATTCTGTGAAGAGCTTATTTTAAAATGTAATGGTCAGCTAAGGCTTTAATTAAGGCCTTACCTCATTTTGGATTTAGTATGTTGAAGGGGAGGATTGAAGACCAGCAGCTCTTCAATTTACCTTTCATTGTGTTTCATTCTGTATTATCTTACACAGGATGGGTTGCCAGTAGTTGCTTCATCCTCGAGAAGCACCAGGAAGGTATCTGGTAAGTCTGTTAACCCAGCCCAAATATATTGAATGGTCAATAAATGGAGAAACAGATTTGAAAAGAAATTTTACAGTTTTACTTCTCTTTTATTTTCTATTTTTTTCCCCTCTTGGGCATCCCTTTTTATAGGGATAAATAGCTTTGCACACAACTGTGTATTGCTAGTGGTAATTAGGTTGTGGATTTTGTGTTTGCACCTGCAGATTAAGAACTCTGACCTCTAATCAAGCTATGTTGAAGTGTAAATATTACTGGCCTAAAATGTGCAGTACAGGATTGAGAACTGAATGTGCAAGCCTAGCTCTAAATGGTTTTTCCATTATGAAATTATTTAAGGATATTTGATAAAATGTGAATGAGCCTGGCTCATGCAGGTTGATAAATGAAATATGTGAGCAAGATGCTGTCATAATGTAAGCCTGTATCACAGTTATTAAGGATTAATCACTGCTAATTAACTAAGCTTTTTTTTTGCCTTTTTTTTTTTTTTTTTCTATCTCAGCACTCTCACAGGCATCTAACCGCTTCATTGATGAGCTGCCTCCACCAGCCCAAGAGCTGCTGGATGAAATTGGTAAGAGGCACTTCACCCAAAATGGTATGAGGCTTGCCAGCTGTCTTCAATCAGGATTTTTCCCAAATCATTCACTGCTACACTGCTAATTAACTAAGCTTTTTTTTTTTGCCTTTTTTTTTTTTTCTATCTCAGCACTCTCACAGGCATCTAACCGCTTCATTGATGAGCTGCCTCCACCAGCCCAAGAGCTGCTGGATGAAATTGGTAAGAGGCACTTCACCCAAAATGGTATGAGGCTTGCCAGCTGTCTTCAATCAGGATTTTTCCCAAATCATTCACTGCTAAAATACACAAGAGCTTCCAAATTAGTTGTAGTCAAGTCAATGATTAGGAAGTTAGGCATCAACAGCTTCAATAACTGGCAGTTATTTAAGTTAGTCCTTGAAGTTCCTGCATTTCATGTAATGGTTAGTTGCTGATGATGACAGCAGCTGTCATTGTATTGTGTGCAGATGTAATTTAACACTGAGATGGATTTTTGTGTAGACTGAATTTTTGAAGGGTGTCCTGGAGCAATGCATGTGCTCCATTAAAACAAACGCAAGCCGGGCATCTGCATCCCTCAGGTATTTTTGTGGAACTTAGTGTCAGTGATTTATGTTTCTTTTTGTAATCACATATATCTTTAAACAGAACGCAGTGTAAAAACTCTGCATTATTTTTACTGGAGCATCTTACAGAAGAATTTCCTTTAGTTATTCGCTGTAAAGTCTTCCTCAACTAACACCAGACATTGGGATAATTAAATGTATATAGGTCCTATGCTCTTTTAGAAATAAGGCACCCAGACATGTTCTAATCTTCTTATTTCCTCATTCAACAAAACAAGGACGTATGGAGAATGGTGTCAAGTGAATAAATAATGGTCAGAGACAGTTTGTAAGATTGGTATGTGAACTAATTATACATTACATAAAGGTTTTCCTTGAAGTTTATATGGATAAATAACATGGTACTTCAGATTGTATAAAGTCAATTGAGAAAGGGTATTTAGATCAATAAGGAAATACGCTGTTTTTAACAGAATATTTAAAGCAGCAAGATTCCATCGCTCAAGACTCTAAAGAGGAGGGATTGTACGACTGCGGAGTGCAAATAAATGGTTAGTTCATAATAGTCCTAACAGAGAGATTACAAATAAAAAATTACTTTTGCATTGCTGCAAAATGACTCTGAATACTTGTCACTGTATGTTCAGCTGTACGATAAGCTTAAATTTTTTAGCTACTTTCAGTATTTTTGGTTCCGCAGAAATTTGAGAGGATTTTCCCTTTCTTGGTAAGGTTACATGAAGTGTTTTTGCAAATAGTTCCCCCTCCAGCAGCGTTTGGTGTCTTTCTCTGTGTATTCACTCTCCAAAGTCTATGGGGATCTGATGCGGAAGGCTTGCAGGTCTGGACTATCAGACTTTATCTTCTATTTCTGTTATGCCACTGTAACGTGTGCTGTGTTCAAACATGAGTGACGAAACCCACAAATGTATAGATGGTGGGCAGCTGACGTAAAATAGAGCTGAAGTTTCCGTTCTGAGAGGGTGTTTCACTTGAGAAAGTGGACAGTGCACGCTAACTGCTTGTGTTTCTTTTTAACCATGATGAAATAATGCCTCTGATCTCATGGTCTAAGAAAATAGCATCCATTGGGGTAATCAATAGTTTATTCCCTGTTCTGTTACAAAGATACCAAAGACAGCAGTAGTGAATCGTTGTGCTTCTGAAACTGCAAACAGTAATAAGTGGGAATAATTTTTGGATGTGCAGTAAGTAATGTCAGAGGAGCAGAAAACCTAAATCTTTATAGTCTCTGCATTTGTTTCCAATGAGTCAGAAAGTGAAGAGCAGTTAAAAAAAAAACCACAAAAACAAAAACCAACAAAAAAAGCAGAACATGAGTTAGTCTGTAAAAAAAGCTAAATAGCACAGTCACTTGAGAATGATACTGGCACTTGTTTGTGTTATCCTACAGCTTTGTTAGATCTTTCCCCATTTAAAATTGTTACCCAAAGGATAGAAGCTACTGTGACTTTATTCACAGGAGTATCTTGTTTTTAGGTGGTGAGGAATGCAGCAGCCTGTATTGCTTGCTGTTCAGTCACTGTGGTTTTGTTGTATTTGCATAAAGTACAGCTATTTCAGACTCCATTTTTGTGACAGCCTACTGCTTCCTGCTTATCATAGCTTAGCAGAAGGTGGCTGAATATATTCACATGCTGTAGGGAACAGAACTTACCGAGATAAGTCTTGGGGGGGGATATCATTGGATTTTGCTAAGTAGGGTAACAAAGCTAACGTCCACAGGTCTTCTTTTGATTTTTCTCCCATATCTAGGATTGTAAGGGGAAAGATTAAAGATTAATTTCCACATGCATTTTTCATTTTGGTATGAAGCAAAATGTTCAGTCCTGTGAATCTAAAAATGTGTTACAGTAAAATATTTATCTACGTCTTGCTACTGGCCACCTTTGACTGTAGATAATGTGGATTTGCTTAACCAGTAGAGAACCAGATTACTGAGGAAAGAGTAATTAATTGAGAAGCAGACAACTGGAAGTTTCCCAAGTGCAGTAAATAAAAACACATTTTAATTTCTTTATTGTCTTCCTTCATATCTTTAATAGTAAAATCATTCTGTTCATGTGACTAGGTGCAGATCAAATTAACATGGAAGACAGAGAGTCAGAAAAAGAATTTGAGAGAAATGAGGGGAGAAATCATAGTTTATGGACCAAGGAGTCATTTAATCTAGCAGAGGAAACAGAAAGGTATGAAAAAAGGACGATAAGGCATGTTTGGCTTTGAGTTACAAAGATTTAGAATAACGTTTCCAGTATAGTTTAACAAGATTTAATGCTTACAGTAAGCCAGCTTTTTTAAGAATCCTGGCAGTTATGGCTGTTTTCTTTTAAAATGTGTAGTATTAAACTTGCCAGCATCCATTTAAAATCTTTTATTCAACAGGGCTCACTCTACTCTTGATGATATTTTAGAAAGAATGCTCCATGCAGTTCCTGGAGATGAGGAGATCCAAGTACAACCTCAGGGACGCGCTCTTGGGTTAGCTGATAATTGATACTTTGTTCAGAAGTTTATTTTGTTTGTATTCTGTGTACAGACCTATGTGGGACTTTTCAGAAAACGTGCTGTCACTCTTTAGGCAGTAGTGTGTCAGGGAACTTGCCTGGAGACATCAGTCTGAACTCTCTGGGCTAAATTAAGAGGGGAAGGTATGTTTTGTTAATATAATTTCCTGTAGGTCGAAAGCAAATACTTCAGTGGGCTTGGAAGGGACCGCGTAGTCTTCACAGAAATCAGAGAGAGTTTGACAGAATGGTGGATTTTTTGCAGATTTTGGATTTTTAATGTTATCTGCAGGTGGATGTAAAGCTAAAGCACATCCATGGTCTTGGGGGGGAGAGGCGGTGTGTTTGGGGATTGGAGGGGGCAGATGCCCATTAGAGGTCAGGGTAAAAATAAAAAGGCATCTGGTATCTCCAGAGGCTTCTGCGTTAGTGCTCTGTATTCATCCTGTCTAAAAGAAACTTGGGATACACAAAACTCTGTCATTCCAGGGCTGCAAGCCTGCAAGATCCGGAAGATGTTGGAAGGAAGAAGGGAGAAGAGGAAGGCGGAGCTGGGGCCAGAGGTAGAACGCCAAAAAGCTGTGCAGGGAGTTCAGAAGATCCTCTTAATCTGTAAAGCTACTGGATGCTGTACTGGGCAGTATCACATTTGTTACATTGTTAGCACTGAAATTTGTCATCTTGCACAGACTAGTTTTTTCGCTTTTCTTGATTTCCGCCATCTGGGAACTGTTTATACCCTATGATTTTAAAGGCGAGGAAGCTGCTTCAGGCTTAAACTCTCCAGAGACACTTGAAAATTCTTGATCTTTTTTTTTTGGTCAGTTGAAACTGAGAACATTGTGGATCGTTTCCTGGAGTTGCAGTTCTCTCTCCTAGTGAGGGTGTGATTTCCTCTACTGACTCGAAAGCACTGAAAGACACCTGATAATACTGCCTTTGTGTCCTGTTTAGTGCTCAGCCTGAGTGAGGCACCTCAGTGCTTCACAGTGTAAGGACTGTGGTTACTGTCAGTATGGGTTGGTATGTACTGTGATGTGTATGCTAATGCCATCACATCCCTTAGACATCTGTCTCTTGGGCTTGCCTCCCCTGGCGTTCTTCTAATAGAAACTAGAAGTAAGGAGGAAGACACGAGATAAAATAAGTGTTTCCTCTGTTCTCTGAGTCCCAATTTCCATTAGAAACTGCCAAAGCTGCAGCTTGGTATTCTGCAGCTAAAGTAAAAGGTTGCCATTTTCAACATTTCTCAATTAAAGATGTTTCTTGTTACGGGAGGGGGCTGACATACTTACATTATGTTAATGTGCATTTAGTGCTCTGCAAAAACTAGAAAAGGACTGGCCTTTTGTCTGGAAAGAAACGGGCAGTAGGCTTTCATTTTCAGAGAGAACTTTTGATTTTTCAATGAGCAGCACAAAATGACTTAAAGGAAGCTGATCTTCAGTGTTATGGGCACTTAACGCTTCTGCAGCAGCCAGCCCTACAGCACGTGTTTTGCTTTCCTGTTACACACCCAAAGTTTGAAACATCCCAAATCACTCGTTACTTTTGGAAATGTTGATCGTAATTTTTAAACTTGGAGAACTGGAGTTAACATCATTATGCTTGTTATTTACACAGCGTTAGCGTACATGACCCTGTTTTCTGCCAGACTCCTAGAACAGCTGAGCTGGTAGGGATTGGGCTTCAGGTTTTGAAAACAGAATTTCTGATCACAATGAGAGTGCTGTGTAATGCACCCAACAGCAGCAGAGCTGGGGCTGCTTTCTGGTTACAAGTGCAACTTAATGGATCTGGCAGAGATCTGTAGTGCTTGATTCAGCGTGCTGCTCCGTGCTGACAAGACCAGAGCTTTCTCTTTGAACTGTTGTGTGGCTGTATGTGTTCTTCTTAGTTCTGAGCTGAATTTACATGTTTTTTAGACATGCATCCTGAAGATCAGAAATTCCACTTACAGGAGCGGCTGTCTTCATCTTCACCGTTCAGGTGAGCCTCTCTGTGAATTAGATCGGGTTTTTGGCAGAAATTTGTGTTTTCTGTGGCTGCATGAGATACATTCTTGGTCTTCATCCCCAGGAGACAAAAGGGGCAATATGAAATCCTACCCCCTTCAACTTGTAGCTTGATATAAGAGGAAAAAAAAAAAAGTGTGTTGTTTTTTTTTTTTTTCCCTGCAGGATAACTGTTTTGGATCAGAGCTCTCCTACATGATTAAAATGGATAGTGGAGAAGTTTTAATAGGTCACCTGCTGACTGCTGCTTGTGCAGTATACAGCCTGTGAATTGCAACCCTTTGCAGCCACATAAGTGATTGCAAAGCTCAGACTTCCTTTCACCGCAGCAGCAAGTACAGCAGAAAATCTAATGCTCTGCTTTAACACAGTTTGTCCTGGTTTTACGCCATCATTGCATGTAAAGGCAGTATCAGTAATGCTGCAGGACTGAACTCTTCTGAATGTAACTTCTTTACGGAGCTGGGTGGGGGGGTGGTTCTGCATGCTGTCATAAGCAAAAGGATTTCTTGCTCTGTTGCATCGTGTTTCAGTTTTCAGTGTTAGAGACAAAATGATTGTAATTTTGTGGCCTGCTGTTACTGCTTAGGCACTTGTTAAATTTTTCCATGCTGGAGTGTGGAACGCTGTTACAGCCCATGTAGTGTATGTTTTTCCTTGCTCGTTAAATTTAACAAGGTAATTTCTTGTTTTCTCTTTTCTTAGTGCTTTTGTGATGTAGCGCTGAACTGATTTGACTGATTAAGGGGATTAATTGCTGTGCAAAAAGCTAATGAGAAAAAGGCAGTGTTCTCCAGAGATTGCAAGCGTAGCAATACGTTCCCTGCCAGCGTTAGACAAGAATTTGAGAAAGTCTGGTTAGTATTACGAAGATACTTGTTGTTTAATTAAAGCACGCTTTTGGTAGGCCTCGTCCAAAAAAACGGTCCCTGGATATAATTGAGTTTTGGATCAGAATTTTGATGGGCATAGCAACTTCATATTTATCTTTTCTTGTCATAAATGCTGTTCAGGTGCAGGAGGTGTGAGGATTGTCCTTGTCCCTCGTTGAGGCACTGGGATTTTAGCTGCCTTCATACAGCCGGGTGTGCCACGTTCCTGTTTATGTAGGAAATTCTGCCTGTCTGTAACTGCTAGTTAATTTGGTTTAACAATACTAATAAAAGTTTCCAAGGTTATTATGCTGCCACGTAATTCTTTTGCTGGTTTTTGGGTGGGTTTTCTTGTTGGTGTCGGTTGGTTGGTTGACTTGTTATTAACGGTATTTCCCATCATCAGACTCTGTATACAACTCGATGCTGATAGAGCTACTCCAGGGAGGGTGCTGCAAACTGGCAGAGCTGGGGGAACTTTCTTCACAAAAGATCAAGAAAAACTAAAAATCTTTCTTCTGTTGAGTCATGCGGTGGTGGTGGTAGAGCAGAAGCGCCAGCAGCAAGGGGGCTGTGGTTTCAGTTCTGCACCTGAGGTTGGCAGCAGTGCCAGTGCCTGGGAACAGGGCTCACTTCGCTCAAATTGCAAATTTATTGTGTGATTCTGTCCTTAGTGGCTTGTTACCCACTACTGACAAGCAGTTGCAGGATTCCCTCTCACTTTCAGCAATATTTTGTTATGTTTCATAGAGTTGCTGAATTAAATTAAAAGTAGTTAAAACTTGTCGGGCTGCAGCAGTGCAGAGGAGTGGAGCAAGCACACGTGCATTTTTACACGCATGTAATTATCTATCACTTTGGTTTGCAACATGTGAAATCTCCTTAGCTTCTTGGATTTCTCTTTCTATTTTATCTGTCAAACCAAATGGTGAGCAGACTCTGAACCATTTCCCTATCTTTTTTTAAATCTTAATGCGGAGAATTTTTATTTCTGTTGGTAGAGAGCCTTTCAAGTAGTCCTGTCGCCTGTCTGCTCTCCTTATCGAGGCCAGAATGCAGCAGTGAGAGATTGCAGTTTTTCAGCTGCTTGTACTTTTCCAGATTTAAGTTTGGTGTGAATGTAAATCATCCTAATAACGTAAAGCGTGGACACAAAAGCTGTAATTAACAGGAAGAATTAAACAAGGACCAGTGAAAGACAGCAGAGAAGATCAGAGGGGGCCCATCTAATGCTGCTTTTCAGCTTCCCTGAGAATGAAAGGCCAATTAATTAAATTAAAACAGTGATACTGAGCTGTTCTAATTCCTCTCTGAGCCGCTAGTGTGCAAGTTGTAGGAAAGCGAGTGGAGAGAGGGAGGTGGGGACCGGGTGAGGACAGACCTCCTGTCCCCCTGCATGGGGAGGCGGCGCTGCCTGGAGGTGCTGGATGTCTCTGGACCCTGCGCTAAGTTTGGGTGAAGACAAGCAAGGAGAAAAGCAAATGTTCATTCTCTAAGCAGCCGTGTTTCAGCTCCCTTGTACCTGTCATCGTGCTGGTCTTGGGTTTGGGATTTTTGTTTTGTTTGTTTTGGAGCAGAGAATATCAGAAAAAAAAAAAACCCAAAACCTTCTTCCCCCCCAGTCTCATCCCAGTCTGTGCCAGTGCAAATTGCCTTTCTGGCTGCCTGTACTGGGTTGTGGACTGCATGCTTGTGAGGCACAATGCAGTGAGGTGATGAACAACTTTTAGCATTGCTTCTTCCCTCAAACCCCTTCCTGGGTTTGCTGCAACAGCGAAAGCTGTGGGAGACGGCGGAGGCAGGCGAGGAGCGAGGCGTGTTTCGGGATCGGTCCTGTGGACGGTGTGTGATGGAAATGAAACTGCGGAGGGGAGAGTGACCCGTTAAAACTTGTGACACTGGATCAGTCTCATTTTGAAAGCAATTTAAGAGTTCAGAATCAAATTTTGAAAGACAATTACCCATGAAGGCAGCTGAGCTGCTGATAGCATTTTTAAAGACAGAGGAATTTGATAAAGCCCTGTCCCGGGGGATCGCTGTCTGCGGCACTGCCTAAACCTCACGCTTAGGAGCCTTATCCGTAGGCTCCTCCAGCACATATGCTGCATCGCAGTCCGCAGGTGTAATTGCGGCTGGTGTAGAGAAGCTTTGTGTTTTGAGACTCTAGATCAGGTGTGTAACTGTGGAACCCCACGAAGGAGTTTTTTGTCTGTTATTTTTTTCTTATGGGCTTTGATATCTTTTGCTTTCTGTTAAGGTCCCGACCCTCCGGGCGGCGGTGGCTCTGCTGCACCCGGTCCTGAGGGTCCACAGGGCCTCTTCCAAGCTGGGTTTTCACCCTTGCTGGGAAATCAATGGATTTAAGACCTTTCCTTATTGCCTTAAATATAAATAAAATATAGAACTGTATAACTTTGTATCTTTGAATTGTTTTTTTTTTTTTTCTTGCTATCCATTATGACGGCGTATGTGGCACTTGCCAGGAGAGGGGAAGCGCCAGCCGCAGCAGTGGGAGCTGCGGTGTTTTCTGTCGAACCCTCTGTCGGCGGGTAAAACACACACGTGGGAACCTGTCGGTGTTTAGTGATGTTTATTAACGCAGTCTGCACTTAAACCATCCTGCTGGGTTTTTACCAGTTTCACAGCGTGCCCTGGAACTTCCCAGCCCATCGGGCAATGCAAACAGGACTTGGTCTGTCGAGGGAAGGGCAAGCCTGCGGCTCTGTCCTGCCACCGCGTTGCGGGTGGTGTCACAGCTGAGCGTGTTCAGCCCGACTCCGGGGCCCAACAGCAACTCAGGAGGAAATTTTTCCTCACATCGAGGGAAAAATTACTCGTTTGTTTGTTTGTTTGTTTTTTTGTTCTTAAGAGACTCCCGGTCCCCCGAGGCTGGAAGGGAGGGCTGTTTCCTTAGGAGAGTGAAACAAAAGTTTGCAGTTTATCCCATGATCGGGTGGCTCCTCTCCCATGAGAAGACAGTGCCGTGTCTGTCGGGGGCTCAGCATGAGTGTTGCTGGGGACCCCTCTACGCTCCGAGAGCCACCTATCTCCTGGGGGGCGGCTGCGGCACCGGGCCCTTCTCTCTGCCCGTGTTGGAGGACAGGGACGGGCTGAGCGCGAAGCTGGCGTCGGTGCAGGGGGGATCTGGTGGCAGTTAGACGGGGTGGGATGGTGTCACCTTATTCCGCAGCCCCTCTGCAGCGGCGCCTGTGCGGGGACCGGGTGCAGCCGGAGCAGTTCTTCCCGTTCCCCAGGGGTGGTGACCACAGCACACCAATCTCAGCAGGCAGCTCTGAAACTGGGCCGGGAAGGGACAGGTTACGTGTGGTGGCAGAGAGCTGGTGTCCACCTCGAGACCCGGAGGCAGAGGCTTGAGGAGCGGATGTTCGTTATATTTTGGGTGAGCTCTGTACAAATTCCCAGCCCAACTCTTTGCAGACCGTGGTGGTTTATAGACAATAGAAGTTTCATTCTGTTTGCTTTGTGTATTCAGTGAGCAGTTTGTGATCTAAAATAAAGTTGCCTGATCCCATAAAATCATGGAAGCAGAAAATGAGCTCTTGTTCGGGCTAAGAGGCTGCTCCCTCCCTTTCCATTTTATTCCCCAAAACCTTGCTGCTTATACAGCAACTCCCGGATTGAGCCCGCATCTGCCTTTCCAGATAGGGTAGATGGTTCCTCCACATTTTATGAGGCCATTAAGTCATTACCCAGAAGTTCCAGTGAAGCTGTGGTTTCGTTAGCTCGTGGCTTTCTCTCTCACCTGTTTGTTCATGAAGACATAGATGATGGGATTGTAAACCGTGGCGGTTTTGGAGAAGTAGGAGGGCAGGGATGCAAGAGCTGGCTGGATGGTGATATCTTTGTTCGTGGCCACCACCAGGGCAAACGTGGTGTAGGGCAGCCAGCAGATAAGGAAGGCCATGACCATCACAATCACCATGCGTGTCACCTCTCTCTCTGCCTGCTGTGTCGTGTCCGATTCCCGCTGCTGTGCCGCGGTCTGCAGGGAGTTTTGGAGAAAGAAAGAGAGAGAGATGCCTGACAACTTCCAACAGCATTTCCATCCCTTAGGTGCCTTGACATCAGTGCCAGGAGATGTCAGCTCCATCAGCTGTCACAAAAACCTGCCATGAGGCTCTTCATCCCCGATAGAGATGTGCCTTGGCACCATTTTGTGAGCGGAAAATCATTAACTCACCTGTAGTCACTGTACTTACCGCTCGCAGGGTCATCAGCAGGTTGGTGTAGGAGAAGAGAATCAGGCTGAGGGGCATCACGAAGCAGGTGACAAACAAGGCCAAGATGTAGCTGTTGTTGTTGCTGC